TGTTCAAGTTTATGGGAAGGTTACCTTTTTGAGTTTGAGTTGGAAGGTTTAATGTGCAGCGTTTATTTAAAAGGGTCAGGCAGAACATTTTTTTTTTTTACATACCGAGTAACGGAGTGAAGGTTCGCGGTGGCAGCACACTGAATTTATTAAGCTGGAACGTACGTGGACTTAACAGTCCAGTCAAAAGAGGAAAGGTTTATGCGCATCTTAAAAAATTGGGTGCGGAAATAGTTTTTCTCCAAGAAACTCATATTAAAACGACAACAAAGTTTAGCATTAAAGCTCCATGGATGTCTCAAGTCTACCAGTCAAATTTCTCTACCAAAGCTAGAGGAGTAGCAATTATTATTAGAATTTATTAAGCTGGAACGTACGTGGACTTAACAGTCCAGTCAAAAGAGTAAAGGTTTATGCGCTTCTTAAAAAATTGGGTGCGCAATTTAACACATTAAAACGACAACAAAGTTTAGCATTAAAAAGTTTAGCAACAAAGTTTAGCATTAAAGTCTACCAATCAAAATTTTCTACCAAAGCTAGAGGAGTAGCAATTATTATTAAAAAGTCTGTCCCCTTTATACATAAGCAAACTATTAAGGATAGGAATGGCAGATATTTAGTTGTGTGTGGGGAGATAAATTCATTACCCATCACTTTAGTGAATGTGTATGGTCCTAACTTTGACGATCCTTAATTTTTTGAGAACGTCTTCAAGATTATACCAGACTTTATGCATTCACAAGTCTTCATGGCTGGTGATTACAATTGCGTGTTAAATGCGAGGTTTGACACGCATCCCTGTCGAACCATAATAAGTAAATCGGCTGGGGTACTAAGTAATTATATGCAAAAGTTAAATTTAATAGATTGCTGGAGAGCTTTGCATCCCTCGGATCATGATTTTTAATTTTATTCCTCAGTTCATAAAACTTATTCAAGGATTGACTTTTTCCTAATAGATTCCAGATTGTTGCAACATGTAGTTTCAACTGAATACCATAATAGATTATTATCAGATCATGCCCCGGTTTTTCTTAATTTAAATATAAAATATAATAGATTCGGTTCTTTGGGAGACAATGAAGGCGGTTATCAGAGGCGATATTATAGCATATCAAACTGCTAAGAATAGAGAGAACAAAGCCAAATTAAATGAAATTGACATACAAATAATACATCTGGAGAGTGAATACAGATCAACTAGTTGTAAGACAACTTTGAAGAAAATTGTTGCACTGAGAAGTGAATATAACTCAATTCTTTCTAAGAAAGTGTCGAGACAACTATCATGATTTTTCATTTTATTCCTCAGTTCATAAAACTTATTCAAGGATTGACTTTTTCCTAATAGATTCCAGATTGTTGCAACATGTAGTTTCAACTGAATACCATAATAGATTATTATCAGATCATGCCCCGGTTTCTCTTAATTTAAATATAAAATATAATAGATTCGGTTCTTTGGGAGACAATGAAGGCGGTTATCAGAGGCGATATTATAGCATTATCAAACAGCTAAGAATAGAAAGAACAAAGCCAAATTAAATGAAATTGACATACAAATAACAAATCTGGAGAATGAATACAGATCAACTAGATGTGAGACTACTTTAAAGAAAATTGTTGCACTGAGAAGTGAATATAACTCAATTCTTTCTAAGAAAGTGTCGAGACAACTAATGTATATCAGGCAAAGATAGTTTGAAATAGGTGATAAACCCCAAAAATTACTTGCACACCAATTAAAGCACTCTCAGGCAACTCGTGCAATACATAAAATAAAATTTAATAATGGGAAGATAATTGTTGACCCCAAGGAAATTAATCGTTGCTTTGCTGATTTCTATAAAGAAGTCTATGAATCAAAATGTAAAACAAGCCAAGAGGCAATAGAATAATTTTTTTCTCAATTGGATCTTCCCATTCTTAGCACTGATGCAAAACAATCCTTAGATAAAGAAATTACACTAGAAGAAATAAATGAAGTAATAGAACAGTTACCTAATAACAAATCTGCGGGTCCGGACGGCTTTAGTGCCGAATTCTATAAAAAAATTCAGGAATAATCTTTTACCTATAATTCAAAGATTGATTAAAAGTGCAACAACACAAAATAAATTTCCACCAACAATGTATGAAGTGAGTATAGTATTAATTCCAAAACCGGGGCGGGACAAGCTGCAGATGTCTTCCTATCGCCCGATCTCTCTCATTTCCACTGAATCTACGATTATAACTAAAATTGTTGCGAATAGTTTGAAAAAGTACATCTGTTCTATAATTCATCAGGACCAGACTGGTTTTACGCCAGAGACATATATATTTTAATTTGAGACGGCTCTTTAACAATTTATAACAAGAAAAACATAAAGACATGTGTTATCTCATTAGATGCTCAACGAGCCTTCGACCAATTAGAGTACATACATGAAATACATGATTGCTGTTCTAAAGAAATTTGGATTCGGTTCAGAATTGATTAAACGGATTGAAATAATTTATGCACATCCAGTAGCTCCTGTTATTACCAACCAAAACATTTCAAATCCATTTCAGTTATCTCGACGTACACGTCAGGGATGCCCTTTGTCTCCTTTTTTGTTCGATATCTCAATGGAACCATTAGCAGCCAGTATCAGACACCATCCTAACATAGCGCCTATAGTGATAGAGGGCAGACCCCAACATCTTTCGTTGTATGCGGATTATATTCTCCTGTATATTTCCAACCCTGAAATGTCTATTGCACCATTACTTGAGCTTATTGAAAAATTTGGCAGTCTTTCTGGATTCACAATAAATTGGGAAAAAAGTGAATTAATGCCAGTCTCTGATGATTTAGATAAAAAATATTTATCTAGCACCAAATTTAAAATTGCAAATCACTCCTTTAAATATTTGGGTGTAATAATCACCAAAAAACCTGAAATGTAATTAAAATTGAATTGGAAAAAGAAAATTGATCAGCTTAAAGATTATATAATTTTTTGGAAGACACTCCCTATGTCCATGGTAGGCAGGATTAATGCTATAAAAATGGTTGTACTTCCAAGATTTTTGTACATATTTCAATCTATTCCTTTCTTTATTCCCCTTAATTATTTTAAACAGCTAGAATCTATTATAAGCAGCTTCATTTGGGACAATCAAAATTTAAGTCAAACATATAAATGGTAACAGTTATTTCAAACCAAATTAAAGTATGGAAACAAATCAAGGTATATTTGAAAATTCCAGATTTATATTTAGATACCCCAATCTGTAATAATCATGCTTTTCCTCCGGGGTTACATGATAAGATCTTTTTTCAATGGAAACATATGGGTATAGTAACAATACAAGATCTTTATAGGGAAGGTACATTTAGTTCTTTTGAACAACTAAAACAACGCTATGCTCTTGTTCCTGCTCATTTTTTCCGTTATTTGCAAGTCAGAGACTTTGTGAGGAAGCACATTTCAGACTTTAAATCTTTGAATTTAAATCCAACTTTAGAAAGTATTGTTAATGTACACCCTGCTAATGGCACTGTGTCAAATTTTTACAAATTATTGGTAGAAAAGGTGGACAATAACACTCACAAAATAAAACATGATTGGGAAGAGGAAATGGGTTTTAATATTCATGAAAACATGTGGGATGAGTGCTTGAGAAATGTACATACATGTTCTGTAAATGCTAGACATAATTTGATTCAGTTTAAGGTAATTCATAGGCTTCATTATTCTAAATTAAAACTTCATAAAATATATCCCATGATTTCCCCACTCTGTAATAAGTGTAAAACATTAGAAGGCACCCTGTTTCATTCTTTATTGTCATGTAGTAAAATTCAGCCATTTTGGAAATGTGTATTTAAATTTCTTTCTGAAGTGTATTCTGTCGATCGGGAGCCTGAGCCTTGTATTGGGCTTTTAGGTGCAGAAAATGCCTTTTGCAGTAAATATCAAACACAGGCCATTTCGCTCTGCATGTTACTCGCAAAAAAACTGATCTTACAGATGTGGAAAGCAGATTCTGTCCCTACTTTTGAGATGTGGGCAAGGGAACTGGGAAATATGTTACATTTGGAAGAACTGAGATTTATATTAAAAGATAAATTGTCAATTTTCATCAAGATCTGGAAACCAATAAGACTGTTCTTACAGGCAGACTGAAGTGTGTGAAGTGTGTGACGTGACATGTGGCCAAGTATGGTGACCCATACTCGGAATTTGTGCTCTGCATTTAACCCATCCAAAGTGCACACACACAGCAGTGAACACACACACACACACCGTGAACACACACCCGGAGCAGTGGGCAGCCATTTATGCTGCGGCGTCCGGGGAGCAGTTGGGGGTTCGGTGCCTTGCTCAAGGGCACCTCAGTCGTGGTATTGAAGGTGGAAGAGAGCGCTGTACATTCACTCCCCCCCCACCTATCTGCCGGTACGAGACTCAAACCCACAACCTTTGGGCTCCGAGTCCGTCTCTTTAACCATTAGGCCATTACATCTCTTTTAATCAAACTGTCTGAATATACACTATTTGGATAGCTGTTGTTGCTGTCCATAAGGATAAAAGATTGTATATTAACACGCTGTATATTAAAGCACTTGAAGTAACCTTTACCCTTTTTTTGGGGGGGGTTCTAATATAAATCTTTAATGTTCTTGGCTCAAAGTCATGTATTGTACAGTGTTACAGGTCGATGTCGTATTTTTCCTGTATAGTAGCTATTTTGTGACATTGTGCGTGTTGTTTCAAGAAAATGTAAATAAAGAGAAAAAAATATATATATATTTTTTTTTGCGTAACTTGTCGGTGAACTACGGCTACGTGTAGTAAATTCTGCTCCATCTGAAAGCGCGTGATGATGATTTCCTGCTGATTACAGAACCGGCATTACTATCAAAATGCGCACGACAATCGCATTCGATTAATCGTGCAGCCCTACGCAAGAATGGCGCAGACCCATAGCCGCTGAACAACAACCAGCATAAATGAAAGTTGCTCTACCTTAACAAAGTTGTTCAGGTGGCCAAGCTTCCTCATGTTGGAAACCCCGTGAGATTTGGCAATGTTCTGAAGGATCTCACGCATGTTATCCGAGGGTTCTGTGGAAAGCAAAAACCATAAATTAAAATCTTCAAAAAACATAATAAGGCTAATAGACAGTTACTGCTAACATATTAGCTATTCAGCATCCAGGACAGGAAATATGCATATAATAGTTTATTAAATGTGTTATTATTCTTTAAAATCTCTTTTATCTAACAACATAAATATATCACATAATGTGTCTCCATATCCACTGGGAAGCATCACTTTCTCTGTGCAGAACTCAAAAAACCTCTTGCGTGTGAGAGATTTTTGCACATACGTGATATTATGATCTAAATTCAGCAAACTTTTCCCTGCTCTAGTCTTTATTCAGTACATTTCTCAAGAGAGACGTCAAACCCACTGGCACGGCAAGATTCATCAAGATCAGAAGATGCATCAAAGACTTTTTGCACCAGCTTAGATGAAGTCTGAAGTCTTAAAACACAGACTTGTTAGGCAGCATGCAAAGATATGAGGGCATCAACTGTTTACTGATACAGCCTGACCGAGCTGAATGCACTGCAGCTATTCTGCTGACATGCAGATGTTTACTAGACAACACAAACTGATGGGGCTGTGTGTGCACTACAGATCAAAACAACACCTGGGCCCCAAATCCTAGTGAGCTGCCTAGCTAGACAGCATTTTTCAGGCATCACAGGCGTAAATAACGCGGTCTATTTAGGCAACCTATTAGGATTAGAGACGGTCAACTTCTCATTCTCCCGTCTGCACAGATGGGAAATCACTAATGACAATTTCTTGGATTTAAGGGGAATCTGATAATGTCTTGGTTATTATTAATTGAAGCATTATGGTGACTCTCACCCCGCGTAAGATCCAGCGGTACATTCTCTTCCCCGCTGTCATTCCGACCTGTCAAACACACAAAAAACGACACAATAAAGACACTGTGAGGCCTTATCCGCGATTTATCGTATGCTACACAAGCAGAGGGCTATAAACAGCGCCGGCTGCGCGCGGTAGCGGGGGTGTGGGTGCCGTTAACTTGCCTCTCATCCGTACACTCCGGGTCGGACGCCCGCGGATGCTGACCGCCATGTTGGCAGGGACGTTAATCATCACAACACCGGAACTCTCGTAACCTCTCGCGATGCTTGAGAGCAGACGATTTTATATACACACATCCAAGTACTTGAAAGTGAAACCTAGTTTTTATGCATTTCATAATGAGATTCTTTCCTATACAAAGCTTTTAAGATGATGTAAAATAAAAATGAAATAAAACATTTTGCTATAATGGAATATCATTTGCAAAATAAATCTTTGTTAATTTAATTATTGTTCATTCATTTTAATTACTGTTATGCAGAGTATTATTTTTTACCATGTGTTTGTCAAAAAAGTCAAGCGATGCTGAAGGAACTTTGAAGCTTTTCTCCGTGTAATATGTTAAAATGCTACATTTTATATGGTCATAAAATATAATTATATATACACATATATATATACACACACACAATTTTTATGTACAGAAATATTGTAAAAATTAAATACATAAAATTATTACAAAAAACAAATTATGTATATATATATATATATATATATATATATATAGCCTATTAAAGGTATTAAAACCTTTAGGCTAATACTCAATGCGTTATGATGACATTCCAGCCTGGTCTCATGTTTATACGTAGATATTAATACGTAACATTTACAAGCACAAAACGTACACTTTTGTACATTTTTATTAATGCTAAAACGTACAATTTAGACGTATTTCAACGTTTAAAATGTACAAATCGCTACGTACTTTTACCTAAAAAACGTAAAAATATTTACGTATTTTTTATATCATTAAGATATTCATATCAATGCATTTTATTCATTTTATCAATAAATATATATATATATATATACATACAACTCATTTTTGAAGTAACAGGGCTTATGGCTGAAATTGCGGTCAGTACTAAAATATGTGTAAAGCTTAAAGATTAGTTTTAGATCAATGTGTTATTACAAAAATTAGCTTTATTCATTGTATTTGAACCTTTTTGTTTTTACCTCCATTTTTTGTTTTCATTGTCATTCCAAATATATATATATATACACACACACACACACACACACTCTGGCGTTCAAAAGTTTGGGATCAGTAAGATTTTTAATGTGTTTCAAAGAAGTCTCTTCTGTTCATCAAGGCTGCATTTATTTGACCAAAACACAGAAAAAAAAACAGTAATATTGTGAAATATTATCATTTAAAATAATGGTTTTCTATTTTAATATATAATTTATTCCTGTGATCAAAGCTGAATTGTCAGTATCATTACTCCTTCGGTCTCACATGATCCTTCAGAAATCATTCTGAGATGCTGATTTATTATCGATGTTGGAAACAGTTGTTTATTTTAAACTACAAACCCGATTCCAAAAAAGTTGGGACACTGTACAAATTGCGAATAAAAACAGAATGCAATGATGTGGAAGTTTCAAATTTTTATATTTTATTCAGAATACAACATAGATGGCATATCAAATGTTTAAATATATATATATATATATATATATATAAAGAAGAAAAAAACAAAAAACAAAAGACAGGATCACAAATGACTTTATTCCTACTCAGGTGACTTTATATATACATTTTATTATATTCACTATATATCATTCTCAAACAATGCACAGTTTTTTTGGTGAAAGAATTAATGACAAATAAGGAGGTTGAAAGATGATAAAAACACACTAGACGGGTTTATCCATGCTTAGTCGTTGTCGTAGATGCACTCTGTAACAAATAAGTAGAAAAAAAATCATTGCAGTACAAAATGATGAATAAATATACTTACATCAACTGTATCTGTGCACGTTACCTTACCGTCACCAATATCATCATAAACAGAGGCGTCCCTTAGAGAGGAGAGGAAGTGAGACACAAAAAATAAGAAGCTGTGGTCAACCGATCGGGCATTCAAATGAAATCAAAATGGGCGATGTGGCATTGCAGAATTTTACACAACATTTACTCAAAATTCACTAATATTCACTATTATTCAGGCATATCAAATGAGCCAAGTGTGCTTAGAAAAGCAAAAACTGTAGCTACTGACTGGGGCGAAAGAAAAGATCATCTCACCAGAATAGAAATAGAAATGAACAGCAAGACTATACTTACTGCTCCAAATTAGCAGTAGACACATAGCCAACTGAAACAGACAGAGACTCTAATTAATAAGAGTTTCCTCTTCTGCTGTAATGTGCAGCACATGTAGTATTTCCTAAATCAACTCACATTTTCCTTCGCTGTTCCGGCCGATGAGTTTGTCATCTCCTGGATGAACGATCACATCAAAGATTTCTCCGGGTTTGACTGGTAAGTCTTTATTACCAAACTTCTTTATAGACAGCGATTGGAGAACAGTAGCTTGATACAGCACTTTGATTTCCGCATTATACTGCAAGAAGAAGCAAAGAGGGTTAGTATACAGAGTTATTCATTCACCATTCGTCAAACAAACGTATCTTACTTTAAACCTCTTTCTAAACTCTTTCTCAAACTTCTTCTTTTTCTTCGGGTCCATCTCGTCTGTCTTGCTTGTTGAGCTGAACTTTGGAAAGCTGCGGTGAATGAGAGATGGAAAAAGATACAAAAGTGACTTTGACATATTCTGAAGAAAATGCAAGAGATGCTTATCTGCGCAAAACTCACTGCTATAACATGCGAAGGTGTTCAGAGCGGTTGCTAGGGCATTTTAGCCAGTTATATTGCTTGACAGGTGAAAATCCTAAGGCTGATTAGGACTTAATACTTCACATACACTACCAGTCAGTAAGATAAAAAAAGGATACTTTTATTCAGCAAAGACACATTAAATTGATCAAAAGTGACAGTAACAACACATCAAATAACCAGAGCCACAGTAAATGTGCCTTAATTGTTGTGAAAAAAATATCATGGAGAAAAAATCCTGAATCGTCCTACTATAGGATTCATTTTCATTGAAAATATAAATTTTTTGATGTCCTTATTTTGATGTCAAACATGAGTGTTTATTATTGTTTTATCATCTTAAGATCATTTTAAACTTATTTTTGTAAAATGTATTGTTATATAACTAAATGTATGCAATAAATGACAATTGTTTTGATATTATGTAATATAATGCAATGACTAAGACATTAAGTGATTTAAGCAACCACTCAAAAGCTTGGGGGCAGTAAACTGTTTTTTTTGCCACATTTGTAATAAATGCTGTACTTTTGAATTTTCTATTCATCATAAAATACTGAAAAAATATCACAGTTTCCACACAAATATTGAGCAGCACAACTGTTTTCAAATCCACATATTAGAATAATTTACACAAATAAATTACATTTTAAAATAGAATTGTATATTTAAATAGCAAACAGCTATTTACAATTGTAATCATATTTTGAAATATTACTGTTTGACTGTATTTTTTCAAATAAATGCAGCCTTGGTGAGCAAAAAGGACTTCTTTCAAAAACATTAAAGGGTTAGTTCACCCAAAAATCTAAATTAACCCATAAATTACTCATCCTCAAGTCATCCTAGGTGTATATGACTTTCTTCTTTCAGACGAATCCAGTCGGAGTTATATTAAAAATTGTTGGTTGATCTTTCAAGCTGTTTCATGGCACTCAGAGGGTGTTGCAGTGCTTCAGTCCAAAAGCAGTTAAATAAAATGCGCCCATCCATAAAAAAAATGTCTCACACGGCTCCGGGGGGTGAACAAAGGCCTTCTGTAGCGAATCGATGCGTTTTTGTAAGAAAAATATCCATATTCAAAACGTAATAATCACTTTAATGTAGCTTGCGCCAACAGTCCTACAGCAGCTCAAGGCGGATGACGTATGAGTTGAGCGTTGCGCATGCGCCTCGTGAAAACCAACGTTTGTTTACAGGAGCAAAGGCAAGGCAAGTTTATTTGTATAGCACATTTCATACACAATGGTAATTCAAAGTGCTTTACATAAAATAAAATAAAAAGAATAATCACAACAATAAAACAAGTAATTTAAAAACTTTGAAAATTATTTTAAAAAATTGATTTAAGAGGTTTAAAATGAATTTAAGAAGACGATTATACATATAATATAGTGCAATCAGTTCGGACATCGCACAGTGCTCATTCAATAAATGCACAGCTAAACAGATGAGTTTTGAGTCTGCATTTAAATGTGACTAATGTTTTAGCACATCTGATCTCTTCTGGAAGCTGATTCCAACTGCGGGTGGCATAATAACTAAAAGCACATTCCCCTTGTTTTGTGTGAACCCTTGGTATTTCTAACTGACTCGATCCTAATGATCTGAGTGGTCTGTTAGGTTTATATTCAGTGAGCATATCTGCTATATATTTAGGTCCTAGGCCATTGAGTGATTTATAAACGAGATTTATTAAATGTATAATGCAATGTCTTACCATCTGGCAGACTGAAAAAATAGATGTTTTTTAGTAAAAAATATAAATAACAATTAACCTGAATATGTTAATAATCTTTAACAAGTGTACAAGGTACTCTCTTACTTATTGACTTCATCATCTGCGCACACATCATCATACACCTCCTGTTCCTCCTGTGTGCTTCCCACAACATCTAGAGTGTCCGGTTTCACAAAACCATCTACACATAAAACACACCAACACAAAGTCAAAATAGCAGCTGAAAATGGTTAGAGACAAACAGGAAGCTTCAGCCTATTAAAGACCGAGCATGATCAGTTTAGCAGCTCTTGTTAGCAAATAAACATGACTGAATTCTTTTCAAAGTAAATACAGTGCCGTGCAGCAGAGTAACTCACAGAGGCCTTCAGTGTTTCTGGAGAGCCAATAGTCCTTTGGGTTTTCTGTTTTACGTACAATTTCAATGCTCTCTCCCTGCTTCAGTGGAAGTTTGTTCTTTCCACCCTTGTGATCCACACTGGCCTTCGCTGTTTCAACCACCACAATCGGACCCTTGATCTATCCGAGCACAAACAGCAGTGATGGTGTACGTTTCTTACAGTCATTGTCACTTATTAATGTTAGCATTCAAAAAATAAACAAATAAACATGTTTACAAAACTGCAACAAAATTACAGTTACATAATGTCTATGGGAAAAACTTGTGAAAAGTGAGTCTGGGTCACAAAATGAAAAAATAAAATAATAATAATAATGAATGAAAAAAACCCCCCATATATATACACATACATACATACATACATACATATATATTTTTTTTTCAGTTACTGTTGTTTTGTTATAAACAAAATTACAGTTACTCAATTTCTATGAGCAAAGAAACTCATGAAAACTGAGTCTGGGTCACGTTTCACACCAAAATAAATAAATAAATTTATAAATGTATAAATATAAAAATACATTTTTATATATAGAATGAAAATTAACAATAAAAATAGTTTAGAGAGGGAGAGAGAGGGGGTGGGGGGGATGCACATTTAACCTCAAAATCAAAATTGCTTTTATATTTCACATAAACAAATATATAGTTCATATTCATATGTATAAATATAGAAATATATCATTTTCCTCCATGATCACAGTGGTGTGACCCTGGACCACAAAACCAGTCATAAGGGTCAATTTTTTGAAATTGAGATTTATATATTATCTGAAAGCTGACTAAATAAGCTTTCCATTGATTTATGGTTTATTAGGATAGGACAATATTTGGCCGAGAAACAACTATTTGAAAATTAGAAAATCATCTTTAAAGTTGTCCAAATGAAGTCCTTAGCAATGCATATTACTAATCAAAAATCAAGTTTTCATATATTTACAGTAGGAAATTTACAAAATATCTTTATGGAACACGATCTTTACTTAATACCCTAATGATTTTTGGCATAAAAGAAAAATCTATAATTTTGACTTAAGACTGCTTTTGTGCTCCAGGGTCACATATGTATACATATTTTAATGACTATTAAGTGCAATTCCCTTCCAAATTGTCATTTTGCAATATAATGATTTTTAAAAAATCAGCATAAACTTATTTATATCATCATAAATAAAAGCCAGTAAAACAAGTACCACTATGATCATGAAGGAAAATGTATTTATTTACAAATAAATAAAAACAAATGTCAAAAAATTTTCATAATCCTAAAATAAATCTTCTACTTATGTGAAATATAATATCAATTTTGAGGAGAAATGTGTCTCCAGATGTGTTCTTGACAGGTTTTGCGAGATGAATAATATAATGAAATAAAATAATGAAAATGAAAATAAATCCAGCAGCACTGAGCTGTTTGCAATCACTTTAAACTTTTTCCTGGCGTCCTGCTCCCTTTTCTCTCTCTCTTTCTTCTCTTTCTTCTCCTGCTCCAAGCGTTTCTTCTCTTCTTTTTCCAGCTTTTTCTTGAGTTCCTTTGATTCTTTTGTCGTCTTTTCTTCTTTCTGTTCTTTGTTTTGCTCTGGCCTGTGTAGAGGAGTGTTCCATTAGCAGAATTTTTAGTGAGTTTTCTATTTTGTTTTCTTCATTAATCATATTAAAATTTGAGCCCAATTGATATGCAGCCTTTGCTAAAGACTAACCAACTACATTCACAAAACGTGAGCAGCATTTGCCTGTGCAGAACGTGCTAGTATGATCCTAGGGTACTGCTTCACAAGTTTGTTGAAAATTACTTAAAGTAACAGTGAAGGACAAGAGAAAATTCATACTTTGGTTCAGGGGTTTGCTCCAATTATTAAATATTATGAGCAATAGTAAATTAATTCATACTCGAACATTAAATGAACACTTACCAATTGTGATCAAGATCCTCGTACATGTCCTCGTCTGACTCCTACACAAGAAACAAACATCATCATCATCACTGGCTTTGTAGAAGTTACTGCATCCAAACCAATCAACTGTAATTAGTGACCTCATTAGCTCACTAGAGTCCATTATAATGGCCGTGTTGTGAATGCTATCATTTCCTTTTGAGATTCTGGTTCATTTGCAGAAGTGTCTCAGCAGCCATATGTTATGCAATTTAAAACATCTCTAAAGAGTTTATACAGTATAATTACACACAATGAACGTTTCATCTTTACCTCAGGGTCGTTGCTGCTTTTACCTAAAACAGAAAGAGACGTCAGTAGTACAGAATTAAAAAGACAAACAAACCTCAGCACTAATGATGGAGGAAATCGGAAGTCACACCTAATGTCTAAATGTGACAGCATGTGAGATATTTTGTAAGGCAATGGCATTCAGACATTAAGTTGACAGATATTTCTTAGGGTCACTATATGTATCAAACATTAATATTAAATAACTTCTCTGTGAACGGCACCTAGTGAAGTCTCCATCCGGCTCATGATGTCCGTATCATCGTAATAACCCTCCTCATCCCTGTTCACAACAGAAGAAACACATTTTAAACTGCAGCTTCACATCTTTGTCTTAAAAGAAAAAAAAATTGTTAAAAAGAAACTGTGCTACAGTATACAATATCAGGGTGGCAACACTATAAAATTAATGTGTGCATTTTGCAAAAAGCATTGTGGCAATGCAAATACTAATGTATTGTTATTTTACCATTGTACTGAACTATTACCATATTCATGTAACAGCATTTGTGTATTTTTTACTCATGTGCCACTCCAAGGTACTTCATTAGTAAACCCCCATTGTATTACTACAGAACCTTGTCCTAAAAGCAATACATAAATGAATAAAATAAAACGTATTCAAATAATTATTTTCATGGTAGGCCTACTTTTTTGGAAAGTATTTTATATATTTCTATTGTATTGTAATGGCGTGTAAATCTCAAGAATGATTACTGATGCCGTTTTTAAACGCATCTCAAAGTGAGCACTCACACTGGAGGGGGAGCAGGTGGAAATGTGAAGGGTGGGGGTGGGGGTGGAGTCACAGATGTGATTGACAGGCGTTCTGGAGGTGGTGGGGGTCGGAGGGAGAAATGTTCCTCAGGGTTGCTGGTGTTGGATACTGATGAACCAGCAGACAGAAACAGAACATGAAGCGACAAGTGCATATATATTTACTAGAGGTTACAGTTCACAATTCAGGGAAATACCTTTTGGATGTTTAGACCAGAATACAATTGGCCCAGAAAGTTTTTGGACACACTTTATGAATGCCATTAGGTAACAACACATCAACCCACCAGAACCAGAGAAAATGTGCTTAATTACTGCGAAAATAACGTTATAATGCAAAAATGGTTCTACTATAGGATTCATTGTCATTATGCAAAATATAATTTTTTTTTTTTTACTTATATATATTTTTTTTTAAGTTTAAGGCCAGTAAGATTTAATTTTTTATCAAATTAATATTTTTATTTGCATTAAATTGATTAAAAAAATTCAGTAAAGCCTTTTATAATTGTACAAAAGATTTATATTTCAAATAAGTGCTGTTGAACTTTTTATTCATCAAAGAATCCTGAAAAAACATATCAGTTTCCACAAAAATATTAAGCAGCACACGTTTTCAACATTGATAATAATAAGAAGTGTTTCTTGAGCAGCAAATCAGTATATTAGAATGATTTCTGAAGGATCATGTGACACTGAAGACTGGAGTAATGATGCTGAAAATTCAGCTTAGCATCACAGAAATAAATTACATTTTAAAATTAATTCAAATAGAAAACCGTTATTATCAATTGTAATAATATTTCACAATGTTACTGTTTTTACTGTATTTTTGACCAAATAAATGCAGCCCTGGTGAGCATTAGAGACTTCTTTCAAAAACACTAAAAATAAATCTTTCTGACCCCAATTTTTTGAACAGTAATGTGTCCAAAATCTTACTGGTATTGTGGGTGTAAATTCACATGATCTCAGACATCTAAAAAGAATGAACTGAATCTTTCTCTGAATAAAAACACATCAGTTTAGCTTAAATGAGCTTCATCATTGAGGTCCGCATCTTACCGTTCCCTCTGAACTTGTTGAGGTTAACATGTGGAGGTCTCTGTGGTTTAGCAGGACATTTTCCTAAAGCAAACACACTGGGAAGAGACTTCTTTTTTGGCACTGACAAATCACCAGTAGCGGTTCCCGGTGCTGCAGAGATCTTTTCATGGAGAACAGGTTTCTGTATAATAGGCAGTTTGGCAGGAATCTGGAATCCGGCTCCAGTGGGGGCTTGTGTAAAAGCGTTCTCCTGGTTTCCTCTATTGGGCAGCTTCACTCCTACAGCATCACATCTCGAGTCACCACTGGTCTTGTTGTTCGAAACTGGAGGATTGAATCTAGCCTCCATAGAGTTAACCATGAAGTTGGGTTTGACCATGAGTGGCCTGGAGCCTGCGCCTTTATTCATGTCCACAGGTTTAAGTTTCGCCAGCTTGGGGATCAACACTGGATTCTGGTCATGATTCCCGGCGCTGCTGAATTGATTGTTCTGAGCAGGTTGGGAATACAATCTTTCGCCAGCCAGTGAGTTAAAGAGAGACATCAGGGATTGTACATTAGAGGCCTAAAAATGTACAACATAAAAAAAACATTGGCAACACTTTACAATAAGGTCTCATTTGTTAACATTAGTTAATGCATGAACTAACTGAGCAATATATTTTTACAGCATCTATTAAAGGGCACATATTATGCAAAATCCACTTTTACATGGTGTTTGGACATAAATGTGTGTTGGCAGTGTGTGAACACAACCAACCTAGAATGATCAAATCCACCCACTCCTTATTTTTTAATTCCTATTAAACCAAACCAGTCTCATTAGGCATGCCGTTTTGATTCTCTTAGCATTGTGACGTCCATAGACTGTATAAAAACATGGACGTAATGTCCGTGACGTCACCCGTAGGTTTCCGAAGAGCATTTTTGAAGCCTAAAGTAGGCGGAGCCGGCCATTGCCATCTTGGCAGCGCGTCACTCCCGGATAATCGAAAATGGGCAAAGAGGCGGGAGCTGGTTGCGGAAACCACGGCTACCAAGCTTGACGGTGGTGACAGCAGCGGCAATCCACCTGTCACTCAAGTGGCCACGCCCACATTAGGGCAGAATTAGCTATATAGACCAAAACCACTTTTTGTATCAGGCTGTAAGCATATTTTTTTCTGCTGTAAAGTTGGGCATTTTAACATGGGGAGTCTATGGGACTGACTCCCTTTTGGAGCCAGCCTCTAGCGGCCAGTCGATGAATTGCAGTTTTAGTCAATTCCGTGTTGGTTTCACGAGAGAGACCGGAAGGTTGCCGCTTGGTGACGTCACAATGTTTAGGCCCCGCCCACAGCCGCTGACTGACAGTCCTGCATTACCGTAGTTTCCGCCCTCAGCGAGTTGTGTTTGGTTGTACGCCGTCCTCTATTTTCTCCGCGCTCGAGAAGCTGTAATGTCAACGTCTAGTAAGTAATTTCGGTGTTCTGTGTTTGGCTGCAAGACTGAACATAAGAGTCTTCATTTTCTCCCAACATCTGAGGACTCCGTGGATTACTTTTGTTTATTTGAAGGTAATGCGCCTCAAAATCTATCTAAATACGTAACGTTATACGTCTGCGCAAATCATTTCACTCCAGACTGCACTGTGAATGTCGTTATTTTAGTGCTTAGCTAACGTTTTAACCGTATTTGTGTGTGTATGTTATTGAAGTATTTGAATTGATCAGCGTCATGCTGGTAAGATTAGTTAGCGCGGCGCTGTTAGATCGGTGGCACTAGCAAACACGTCCTCCCTGCGCTGTCGAATCGTTCGCACGGCAGCGAGCTCTTTAACATCGTGCTGTTTAGTCCCACTTTCAGTGTGTTTGGCTTCCCATATGTACGGCTGAACATCGGTTCTCTCGCTCTCAGGGTGTGTTCACACTTGTCATGTTTGGTTCAATTAAAACAAACCCTGGTGCGATTGCTCTGTTAGTGCGGTTCATTGGGTGTATTCACACCTGTCTTGTTTGGTTCGATTGAATCAAACTCAAGTTCGTTTCTACCCTTGGTGCGGACCTTTTGGGCAGGTGTGAATACAGCAATCGCACTCGTGCAGACCAAACAACCGCACTGAGACCCAGCTGAAGAGGTGGTCTCGGTCCGGTTCCAAACAAACTCTGGTACGCTTGAGAATTTCTGTCCAATGAATGGATGACCTTAGCACAAGTGTGGTTTTGTTTACAATTTCTGGTTCACTTGCAAAAAGGGCAATGTGAAAGCGAACCGCACCAAACAAAAAAAAATCAACATTGTATTTGGTCCGGACCAAAGCAAGTGAACTAGCGAACTTTCCTGGTGTGAATACAGTGTGGACGCTGCCATCCGAAACCTGGTGCGCACCAGCGGACCGAGACCGCTAAAATGATGGGTCTCGGTCCACTTCCAGACAAACTCTGGTGTGGTTCGAATTAAATATGAACGCAACACGGACCAAATACTTATAAACAAACCAAAAACAGAAAGTAATGACAATGCGACATGATTTGACGACGCAGAACGAGCGGTGTATCCCAAACAAAATGAGCAGAGGGCAAACGTGGAGCAACGAGGAGGTAAAGTGCCTTTTATGAGCTCTTCGTGAGTTCGCAGGTAGTGAAAATAAAATCATAAGTACACGCAGCAATGAGCGCGCTTAGTCCAGCAGACGGCATTAGGTGTGTTCGACTTAAAGCGGCGCTGAGCAGACCGATCAGTGAACGGGTGCTTTGATGTCAAACACCGATCGCTCTGCGCAGCGCAGCTTTAAGCCGAACACACCTTTTGATTTGGGTGTTCAGTGAGTTCCGTCACGAAATATACGTCATTCAACCTGACCAATCGGGTTGTGAACGTATCACTATGCCTTTAGGTTCGGTATCTTTAGGTTCGCTGTCAAAAATACCAGTGTGAACGCACAGCGGACCAGGACCAAATGCATCATTTTCTTTTTTGGTCCGGACCAAACGAACCAAGAGAACCGAACTACAAGTGTGAACGCACCCTGTCAGTCTACTGGCTGTTTGTTGCTGTAGGTTTGCAAAGCAGATATGTATACCAAAGACACAGAGATGGGCGGGAATATGCAGCTCATTTGCATTTAAAGTGATACACAACAAAACAGCTCTTTTGTTTAGACACGCCCTAAAAAGGACATTTTCCAGATATAATAAATTATCTGTGGGGTATTTTCAGCTGAAACTTCACAGACACATTCTGGGGGTACCCAAGACCAATATTACATCTTGTAAAAAGGGGCATAATAGGTGCCCTTTAACCTTTCTTAATCTTGCAAAAATACAATTGCTCTGTGTTCATGTTAGTTCACAGTGCATTAACTAATGTTAACAGATATAATTGTGATTTTAAATATGCATTACACTGAAAGAAGTTTCAACTCAGTAATTCTAGTAAATTTTACAAATAATTACAAAGAAATGGCAAGTAACACTTTTTTGAAAGTTGAAAGACTGAAATATTTTTGGACACTTAAAATCATCATCTGTACATAAATCTTCTGTTCCAGATTTGACCACATTATTATTTATTTTTTTCTTTAGTCTTATTGAATTGTTCTTTCTGTTCTCATGCATGTACCTAGAGCTCCTAAAAAACACAACAAATTCCTTGTGTTTGTACACACTTGGAGAATAAAGCTCATTCGGATTCTGAAAATCATTTAAATGAATCCTCTAGCACCAAGTACGACATAACTTCGTAACTCACCCCATGTTTGTATGAAGCCACATCAAATTGTGTGGCTTGAGGAGACGTGTGCTATGACTTTTTTATACAATTTAACTTGTATGGTGGGCAATAAAATAGGGCAAAAAATTCCATAAATTTACAGTAAATGGGGGCCTATAGATACCTGATTCTGTTTCAAAACAATAATTGGTAACACTTTACAATTAGATTCATTAGTTAACTACTTTAGTTAACATGAACTAAGAATGAACAATACTTCTACAGCATTTATTAATCGTAGTAATGCCAATACTTACTAATGCATTATAAAATCAAAAGTTGTGCTTGTTAACATTAGTTAATGCACTGTGAATTAACAAACTATGAACGACTATTTTCACTAACTAACATTAACAAAGATGAATAAATACTGTAATAAATGTATTGTTCATGTTAAATACATTAACTAACATTAACCAATTGTAAAGTGTTACTGATTCATTTAAAATATAAAAATGCTGCAATTGTGATATATATGGAGTCAAAACAGTGTAATAAAGCACTTGCAATTTCAAGAAAAAAATATAAGAAAAGGTCTCAGTTGTAAGTAGACCATGACTAGTTGCATAAACTGCAGAGAGTAATTCCCCCCAAAAAACTTTTGGTGATCAGTTCTTAAAAGAACCATTATTTCTTAGAGTGAAAAACATTAAAAAAAAAACTATAAAGAACCTTTTGTGGAACGTAAAGTTTCCATGGATGTTAAAGGTTCTTCATGCAACCAAAGATGACAATAAAGAACTTTTGTTTTTAAGAGTGCAACAACACTAAAAGCCACTCTGAACACTTTAGCAATGTTAATGTTAACTAGTGAACCTAATTGTAAAGTGTTACCACTTATTGTTTTGAAACAGAATCAGGTATCTATATGCCCCCATTTACTGTATGTTCATGGGATTTTATGCTCCATTTTATTGCCCACCATACAAGTTCAATTGCATAAAAAAGATATAGCTTTTTTATGATATCACTGAATTCAATGAACTGCCTTTAACTGAAAATTGAGTGTTTACTATTGTCCTTTTGCACTGACACACTATTTTCCTATTTTGATACTGTTAAGCTGCTTTGACACCTTCTGTATTGTTAAAAGCACTATATAAATAAAGGTAAAAAAAAAAATCCTTGCATGCAACAGTCAATACAACTCACATTTTCTTCAGAAAATATAAAAAATAATAAAAAATATTTATTAACTATAATCACTAATGTTATAATTAATGCAGCAATATTAAGCAGGCTATACTGCTAAAAACATGTTGAATAATTAAGACCGTTAAACTGTGTGTTCACACCTTTAGGGTTCCGCCTTTACACAAGTCACTCTTTACATTCACAAGCGTGAAAACCCCTGAGAATTTGTATACTGCTGTCTGCTTCTTCAAAATGCATTTAAATGATCAATATTATTGCACTCTTATCAAACACATCATATAATTATCAATCCTGATAAAAAAAATCCCCAAGCATCAAATCACTATTGCTATTATAGAATCTGCTCTAATATGCTGCACTAACACAAGTATAATCGAGAACTAAACCATCAACAGCAAACTGAAAAATTATCATAAAAGACGCTCCTTTAAATAAATCAGCACGATCTCCCAGTGAACTCACCCAGCCAGTGAATAAGTGTGTGCAAGAATACAGTGGGGCTCTGAAACGAGTGAGAATCACAAATACACCCAGAGGAAATGCATGTTTCCATTACTTTAATAAGGAAGAGGTGTAACCAGGGTTTCACTATCGAGCATCACGACCCTGATCTGGGGTCAGGTTTATCATCAACTCAAAACCACAGTCTCATTTTTTGGCCTTTCAGAGTGAGAAACAACACAAACTCTGGCCAGGTGGTCAAATGCCTATTATACAAGCATAAATGATAATATAATCTCTGGTGTTTATTTGAGGAGCATATGAAGGTCAGTCTTCTAATTCAGAACGCCACAAAAGTCTTTCACCAATAGCACTGCTGAAAGCAAAGAGCAGGACTCACCATAATGATGGCATGTGCTGGAACAACGGTCACTAGGTTATTAGTTTGTCTGTGGAGTCTTTTCAAGGAGTGTGGTTGAAAGAATGGGAGAACTGATGACAAACAACTTTTTTCTTCCTCCTTAATGGCATAGACCTTTGAGCAAAACACATTCATTTGAATCAGTGAGTGAGAAATATGTATTTATAGGGCAAAGAGAACTTAAAAATGTAATCATTTCAATTCAAATCATTATTTTGTGTATTTGGTGTAATAGAATATGTTGACATGCTTTAATGTTCAAAAAATACATTATTTTTCAAATACTGTACATTATTGTAGGTCCTCTATGCCCCGCCTCTCTCAAACATGTCGTTTTCAACAAAGCCCCTCCTTCCAACAAGCACAGTCTGCTCTGATTGTCCAGCTGACCCAGTGCATTGTGATTGGCCGAACACCACAAGCACACGCCTGTAATGTAACGCCCCTTACCATAATCGCTTCAGCTTTCAAAGTAAATATCAAGACAGTTGATATTTACACGACGCCTTACTCTGCGCTGCGCAAAACTCTGCATTTGAGCAGTCAATAGCAAATACTTAAACTAATAACAAAACAGTAGCTGATTCAGAAGCGCCAGATTGTCATAGCAAAGTCGGAATTGACCCTTTTTTTATTTTTTAGAATATGACCTTTAAGGGGTGAATCTTGCAAAAATATATTGAGGTTTTTACCTCAAGATTACAAAATATAAATTATATTATATAATTATACTATAAATTATATTACTATATAATTATAAATCATATTTTGCTAGAAAATTAAGCCTGCACTTTTCTCTGACACATGATTTTCATATTAAGCACATTTTTCAAATTAAAAAAAAAAAATTACACCTATGCTCAAAAGTGATAAAGGCAGTACAAAAATACTACCATGATGTATAAATTCTTACAATTTAACATATATATATATATATATATATATGTTACGGGGCAGACAAGACGTGAGATGTACGGATCCATTTGCAAACTTTATTTCAAAGGCGTGGTCAGAAACAGGCATGGGTCAGACAATGGCAAACTGGTATGGAGAAGACAAGGCAAGGGCAATCCGGTAAACAAGCAAGGGTCAGTTGACGGCGAACGTAATCCAACAGGGTGAGACTAGAGGGATAAATCCAGGTACACAGGCAAAGATCAGAACACGAGAAAACAGACAAAGCAAGACTCAGCTAAGGCTAGGAAAACTAAGCAGGCGCCGTAAGGTAGCTATCAGCTAAACAGTGATATCCGCTAAACCATACTCGGCAGTGAATACAATCAGTGCAATGGATGATGGGATATGTAGTCCGGGATGACATGCAACAGTTTGTGTCGTGCGAGAGTCAATGTAATGGAAGGGTGACCTCTGGTGGTGATTGAACGGAAGTCCGTGGACAGGATTCGTGACATAGCCCCCCCCCTCCAAGGAGCGGCTTCCAGACGCTCCGAACACTTTACGATTCAGGAGGGCGGTGGAGTGGAACAGGGGGAGTGACGGAGGGCCAGGTCCACATGGAAGTGGAGAGACCAGGGACTGAGGCAGGACCGGCGGAGTAGGGAGCAGGGGCGGAGCCGGCAGTACAGGTGGAGCTGAGGACCACCACAGCAGAGCAGACGGGACCGAAGATACCCACGATGGAGCAGATGATCACCAGAGCAGGACAGAAGACCACCAGACCAGAGCAGAAGACCACCACGGCAGAGCAGACGGAGCAGAAGACCCCCACGGCGAGCCAAACTGATCAGGAGACCATGGCAGAGACTGTAACGTAGAGAGAGCAGAGACAGACAACACAGACAGAACATTCACGGCCCCAAGGACCGAGGCAGGAAATATAACGGGTCCCTCAACTTTTTCCCTGATGACAACTGAGTGGGCAAACAATTCATAATCAGGCTTTTTGACTGAAACTGGACAGACATATGGTTCATTTATAGTTCCGGAGTTCATGACAGACAAGGCTAAGAGTTCAAAGGAGGATCTTTGGGCTGTGACAAGGCTACTAGAGCCTACAGGGAGCTCAGGTAAGGTCTCTGCACCAGAGTGATCAGGAGCCCATGGCAGGAACTGGAGTCTAGGGAAAACTGAAACACAGGAGACAGACAGTACATTTACTACAAGGGCCGGAACAGGACGTGTAGATAGTTCTTTAACAGTCTCCTTGAGCTTGACAGACAGGACGGGAACTGGATTGGCAGAGACAGGGTTAACAGGGCAGACATGGTGTGCGTTCTTGATTTCTGGGCTCCTGACAGGCAGGGTTAAGAGTACAGAGGTGAGTTCTGGGGCTGTGACAGACAGGGCTGAAAGTTCCGTGTTGGTCTCCTTGAGAATGGCTGGACAGACAGACCGTTCAAGACTGGTTGGGTTGACAGTACATAAACAGGCTCACTGACTGAAGCTAGACAGGAAGACAGTTCACAAACAGACTCATGAGTTGATATGGGATAAACTGACAGTTCAAAAGTGGGTGTGTTAACTGACACTGGACTGGTAGACATATCAGTGACTGAAACTGGACAAACAGATGGTGCATGAGACATTATTTGAAATTAGTGGACAGACATACAATTCAGAAACAAATTCATTAGCAGCCCTTAATCGAACCTACAGTTCACAATCAGCCTCCATGGCTGATTCAGAACAGGACGAGAGTTCAGAGATGGCCTCATTGTCCGATCCAGAGCAGGACAAAAGTTCAAAAGCAGCCTCTATAGCCGTATGAGGAGAGGCAGAGAGTTCACAGATGGCCTCCATAGCCGTATGAGGACAGGCAGAGAGTTCACAGATGGCCTCCATAGCCATTACAGGACAGGCAGAGAGTTCACAGATGGCCTCCATAGCCATTACAGGACAGGCAGAGAGTTCACAGATGGCCTCCATAGCCATTACAGGACAGGCAGAGAGTTCACAGACGGCCTTCATAGCTGTGACGGGACAGGCAGAAAGTTCATAGATGGCCTCCTTGGCCAGAACAGGACAGGACGAGATCATAAGTGGATACCACTGACACCTCTGGAGGTTCTGCAGCGAATGGCGCCACCTCTGGAGGTTCTACAGTAGGACCATCAGGATACAGGAAGAGTTCAGTAATGGTTCCTTCGACCGTGACAAGACAGGCTGAAGGTGTGCTACTGGGCGCCACCATCGTGCAAGGAGCTGAAGTGAACGCCTCCGCCTCAGAAGGTTCTGTAGCATGTGCTGCCACCTTTGGTGAAGCGGCGGCAGGCGCCATCGCCTCAGAGAACACAGCAGCAAGCGTCACTACCCCAAGAGGTTCTGCAGACTTTAGCCGCCACCTTTGGAGCCATCACAGTGGACGTCGCCACCTCGGGCAGGTCTGTGGTGGTGTACGCAGCCCAAACGCAACATAAAGTGATCCCCATCATGGGAAGCGCTTCAGACAGGGGAATTAGTTCAGGAACAGAAGGGTTAGAGTGAGTGGGTTTGGGGATACCAGCTGTGCGTGCAGACACCAACGGTGTCTAGATACCAGACTGGGATACCGAAAGACTGATCTTGAAGACCTGGGTGCATCAGACAGGACATGACAAGACTCCTGACGATCAGCTGTGTCGTGACGTGACTCTGGATGTTCAGCTGTGACATCGGCGTGACTCACGAAGATCAGCTGTGACATCGGCTTGACTCACGAAGATCAGCTGTGACATCGGCTTGACTCAGGAAGATCAGCTGTGGCATAGGCTTGACCCAACTCAGGAAGATCAGCTGTGACATCGGCTTGACTCAGGAAGATCAGCTGTGACTTGTCTGGACTCATAACAATCAACTGTGACTTGACTTGACTCCTGAAGATCAGCTGTGACATAACAGGACGTTGTTGTGGCCGCCATTTTGCGTACAGGCTCCGCTGTCGCCGCCATTTTGTGAGCGTGCTCCAGTGTGGCTGCCATTACAGGAATGAGTGCGGTGTTGTGTTCCTCCGCAACACCCACCGTGAACGCTGAACCAACAGTCCACAAAACATGATCCAAAAAACTACTTGGTGACAAACGAGGACCCTCATAAATCACTCTTGATTTTAAAGGCTGGTTAAGGCCATCACAGAAAAAGCCCATTAACATACAGTCCGGTAATTCTGAGCCATTAGCCAAAGCCAAATATTCCTCAATGTAACCCTCAAGTGATCGTGTGCCCTGCTTGAGAGCTAGTAGTAGAATCGCTGTGTTCATACCTGGCCAATGTCCTTCGGTAAAGTCGCTGGATCCTTGTATGGCCGAGTATTCTGTTACGGGGCAGACAAGACGTGAGCTGTACAGATCCATTTGCAAACTTTATTTCAAAGGCGTGGTCAGAAACAGGCATGGGTCAGATAATGGCAAACTGGTATGGAGAAGACAAGGCAAGGGCAATCCGGTAAACAAGCAAGGGTCAATCGACGGCGAACGTAATCCAACAGGGTGAGACTAGAGGGATAAGTCCAGGTACACAGGCAAAGATCAGAACACGAGAAAACAGACAAAGCAAGACTCAGCTAAGGCTAGGAAAACTAAGCAGGCTCCGTAAGGTAGCTATCAGCTAAACAGTGATATCCGCTAAACCATACTCGGCAGTGAATGGTTGTTTGAGTGAGTGTTATATAGTGAATGTGTGATTGGTTACAGCTGTGCGCAATCAGTGCAATGTGACATGCAACAGTTTGTTTAGTGCGAGAGTAAATGTAATGGAAGGGTGACCTCTGGTGGTGATTGAACGGAAGTCCATGGACAGGATTCGTGACAAATATATATATATATATATATATATATATATATATATATATATATATATATATATATATATATATATATATATATATATATATATATATATATATATATATATATATATATATATATATATATATATTAATTTATATTTTATTTATTTTTCTAAAGACTTCTTAGTATTAAAATAATGGGAATTGGGGCTAAATGTGCTTAAACGTCCTAAAAAAAAAAACTGGACTTTTTTTTCAATTTGATTTATAATAAAACAGTTTCTTGCTATGTTTTGGTGTGAAATATGACCCAGATATGTTCTTGACAGGTTTAGTGAGACTCATGTATCTCATTACATTTCACTGAATAAGTTCCATAAAAGCAAACAATTTTTTGGGGAAAGCTGTACGTGTCTGCATTCAGTTCTACCGTCTGTCTGATAAGAGTGTGTCAATGTCCTGTATGGCTCTGGAGGTTTTCTGCAGAGCCTCAGAGATGCAGTTCTCTGTGAGTTTGATCTCAGGTCGGTCAGAAGAACGCTCACAGCTCAAAGATCTTCCTGTCGGACGCAGGACGGGGCTGTTCTCCAACAAAACTGATGGATATGTTAAAGAAATATCTACCCAAGGGCATTCTGCTCTCAATAATCAAATTCCACACCAACTCAGTCACATAATCTCACAAAAAGGATACAGTTAAACCTCTTGATCTTTTCCAGTTCAGAAACAACAGACCTGTAGGGATGTAAGAAATCAGGATGAAGAAGAGATAGTTCACTCAATTGTATTTTCCACCATAAATACTCAAGTTTTCCGTGTAAAACTTTGTACACCAACAAACAAGCTTCATTCTCCATTTTAAAATTCCATGGAAAAACATACTTGTTTTGAATGACATTTCCAGGTGAACTATCCCTTTAAGAGTGACTGATATGCATCTTCCAGGTCATGTGATGCAAATGAATATAATAATAAATAATGATCCAGGGAATAAGAGTTCCTTAATACCTGTACGTTATTGGCTGAGGTGTGTCACAATGGGCGGAGTCTGAGAGAGTCACGCCCACTGCACTCATGCTCTGATCTGTCTGCTTTACCCAGTCACACCACTGCACTACTGCCGACACATACCTGCGAGAGAAAGAGACAAAACAAGAAATTAAGGATTTTCAGAAGCAACTGGTGTAATGAATATTACATCATCTCTTTACCTTTGATAAGTTTGGTCTGTCTCAACTTGGACAAGAGTTTGGTGCCCATCTGGCAAATTGAGCTGGCACCACCTGTAAGATGGTCTGGTTTCTGCCCTGAGTTTCTGTTCCATTTCTCCACACTGCCATCACAAATACATAAAAAATTGAAAATAATCATGAATTCATAACCTTTAAAAAAAATTACAGGATTTGAAACAATTTTGTTTATTGACCTGGTTCCAACAAAACTGAATTTACACTTCTTTGAGAATATGTGACATGCTGATTGATTAAGACTGGGACAATAAATAAATAACAAAAGGAAAATTAAAGTAAATTATATAAATAAATAAAAAGTTTTTCAAAAGTCACAGTTTTTCCACTAAATGAACATAAAAAATATATTTAATTATAATTTATGTTCAACAATTCAATTATACATAGTAATAAATCAGCAATATTCAATCATATTATTACATAATGATAATTTTTATTTATTTAAAATAAAGTTTTAATTTATGAAAAACACCACGCAGCACTGCACTTCTGTGAACATGTTTGCACAATACTGCAAACAAATTGTTGAATTTTAGTTTGAATATACATAAATGGAACCTAATTCACCTTAAAACTTAGCATTTTAATGGTTGTAAGCATATCAAAATGTTTCAACTCATTAACTGGTGAAGAGCTGAATAAATGTGCAAGTAAGTGAGTTGATTCATTATCTGGAATTAGGGCTGTCAAAATGGCTGAAAAACTAAATTAGAATTTTGTACTTGAATATGATCAAAATTCAAATTATATTTAAATTTAAAATGCATAATTTCAGTTAGAGTGAAGAAAAGCTTTTGGATTCTCTCTTGAGGGTGCATCGAGAAAAATATTACTAATGCACGTTTATTCAAAGCATAAGATAACATAACATCTGTGAAAAAAAGTGAATAATGTTTAAAGTAATGTTTATAAACCAATTATAATTAAGTTGCTTAAACAACTATAAACAAAACAGCATCATGTATGTATGCATAGTTTAATACAAAGGGCGGAAAGCCAATCACACAGAGTACATTATTCATTTAAAAACACGAGTTGCAGTGGGATGGGGGAAAAAACCCGCCATAAAGTCTTGACATATGTATTTTTTTTCCCCCCAAAGTTAAACTTGCATTAATTTTACATGGCTTTCTAAACATGCGGCTCTTTTGTGCGAGGTGCGAGATGCGAGTGCGGCGGTGATAGATGTCCTTCTAGAAAATGCGCGAAATATGTGTTCTGTGTGAACGGCTTGGTTTCAGTTTTGATGTAAACAAGATCTTCTCCGCATTGATGTTCTCTTTTTCCACAATATTTTTAATGAACAACTCAGCAGCGCCGCATCTAGTGGCTTCACCTGGATAGGTTAACAAAAACATTATAATGCAGCGACACTTACATCGTCATCGCATCTCGTGCGCCACTGATAAGCCTGCCTCCTTAATGCACACCTAAAATTCGAATGCAATGTTATTTTAAATTCAACGAATATTTTAAATTCAAATTTTTTTTGACAGCCCTATCAGGAATAGGATATTATCCCGTGTCAGTGTGTGGTTGTATTCTAGTGAAGTACATCCATGATGTACCTGTGCAGGTGTATACGTGTCGGACTTCCACATCATCTGCGCTCTAACTCCATCCAGAAACAAGACCTCGACAGTCCCATCGGAGAGAGCTTTAAAATATCCCGTACCTGCCACCATTACCTCCTGAACCACACATACACAATCACACACCGCAGCCTGCTGGAGACAGAACCGTTATCATCATACACATCCATATACACTGGACACGATGGACAGAGCGAGTATCCATCAGAGGGAAATCACACGCACCTCGTTCCAGCAGTAAAGAGAGAGCGGGGCCCTCAGGGAGCTTCTGGCCTGGATGAAGCATTTCAAAATCCTAACGAAACAGAAACAAAAAAATATTAATATATGTGACCCTGGAGCACACAACCAGTCTTAAGTCGCTGGGGTATATTTGTAGCAATAGCCAAAAATACATTGTATGGGTCAAAATTATAGATTTTTCTTTTATGCCAAAAATCATTAGAATATTAAGTAAAGATTATGCTCCATGAAGATATTTTGTAAATTTCCTACTGTAAATATATCAAAACATTTTTTATTAGTAATATGCATTGCTAAGAACTGCATTTGGTAGATTTTTTTGCACCCTCAGATTCCAGATTTTCAAATAGTTGTATCTCAGCCAAATATTGTCCATACATCAATGGAAAGCTTATTTATTCAGCTTTCAGATGATGTATAAATCTCAATTTCGAAAAATTTACACTTAAGACTTACACTTAGTTTTGTGGTCCAGGGTCACATATGCAAGTTTGTGGAAAACACAAAATATACACTACCGTTCAAAAATTGGGATTGTTGTTAAGATCTTTTTATGTTTTTGAGAGAAGTCTCTAATGCTCACCAAGGCTTCATTTATTTGATCAAAAATACAGTAAAACTGTAATATTGTGAAATATTATTACTCGTTTGGACTACAACGCATATTTTCCGGGATTTGTGATATCACAAAGATCGACGAATGGGACGAGACCTGGTTGAGCTGCACTAGAGAAGGCAACGAGTGTTATCACTATGTCGGAGACACGCTAGCTTTCCCAGGGCAGACGAACTTAGAGTGGTTACAATCATCCGGGTTTAAATCACGCTCAAATTGATTTGATTTTGACGCAATATTTACACTGAAGCTCGCAGCAGGCGATGACATTATATGTCAGCGGGGCATGACATTTCCCCACCAGGCGCAGAGTGGTGCCAATCACAGCACACACTGGCCCAGCTAACCAATCACAGCACATTTCATATTTCAGGAGGCGGGCCTTCATTTGATACAGGAACTATTCGAGCCGTTCATGCCAGACTGGGGAGAGAGGTGTTGTAATAAAAAAAAGCGCTATATGTAAATGTAACAAATTATTAATAATGTAAAATATATACATAAATACAAAATTATAAATGCAACACTTTTGTTTTTGCCCCCATTTTTCATGAGCTGAACTCAAAGATCTAAGACTTTTTCTATGTTCACAAAAGAACTATTTCTCTCAAATATTGTTCACAAATCTGTCTAAATCGGTGTTAGTGAGCACTTCTTTGCCGAGATAATCCATCCAAATACTGACTGGTTTTCGGACCCCCAATACAGTAAAACTGCACATTTTAGAGTGGCCTTTTATTGTGGCCAGCCTAAGGCACACCTGTGCAATAATCATGCTGTCTAATCAGCATCTTGATATGCCACACCTGTGAGGTGGATGGATTATCTCGGCAAAGGAGAAGTGCTCACTAACACAGATTTAGACAGATCTGTGAACAATATTTGAGAGAAATAGACCTTTTGTGTACATAGAAAAAGTCTTAGATCTTTGAGTTCAGCTCATGACAAATGGGGGCAAAAACAAAAGTGTTAAGTTTATAATTTTGTTCAGTGTATGAAAAATAATGTGTTTTTCGGACAACCTAGTATGAGAGCCTGTTCTAGCACACCCCCAAAACAAAATCAAGACTTTGTAAAAGAGCATAATAGGACCCCTTTAATATTTTGCAGAGTGACAATTTGGGTGTTATTATCACCCCCTAGTGACTGAACTCTAAATTAATTTAGTGAATCATTGGCTCAAGGTTGATGTTCACTTGATGGTGGATGATACTCCTGCCCCTTTATAAACAGATGGGATACTCAATGTTTTAGGAATAGCTTGACATCAGCTATCCTGTGAATCCTGTCTACAGTTGTTTGATTTTGGTTTTTGATATGAGCTGTATGCTTGTAAACCTCTCATCTCACCTGCTGGCCCGTGTGACAACAGACTGGACAGAATACAGCTGACCTGGCACATCAGGTGGGAGACCACACAGGTAATACACACACTCCACCGCCTGAGAACACACAGAAATCAACTCATCTTCTGAATCATGCAGTAAATGTATACACTCAAACTTTTCAGTCCAAATCAGCATGTCATACATCTCTGTGAGCAGCTCCAGCTTTGTGATGTGTGAAGTAATTGGCTAGAACTCCATTAGATCTGATGACTGAACCATCACCAGGTGAAATCTCTACCATCGGTATCACTCCATCTACTATACTGAAGGAGAAAAAAAAAATAAAAAAAACATGAAATCATCATCCGTGTTAGGTCCCAAACAGACTGTATTTGTTTGACACACATAGCCCGCGTTTGGTGGGCTAGACTAACAAAACATTAAAATGCAACGTCACTTACATCATCATCACCGCATCTCTCGCACCACTGATGACGCTCCCTGACGCACTCCTAACATTCGATTGTACCATTTTTGCATTCAAATGCAAATGTTTATTTTAAATTCAACTAATATAAATTTTTATTCACAATCTCCTCATCACAGGCAGGCACAGCGCTCAATTCAGCATGTGTTCGTGTTTGTGTGTGCTGTCTGTGTCACTCATAGCACGTGCCTATATCGTGCACTATATTTTTTATATGGTTATCGATGAAGTTGTACCGTCGATAAATATCGATACCATTTTATCACCCAGGCCTATTTTTGGTCTACCAAAATCTGAAGAATGCCTGCCAGAAGGGCTACCAGGGATTTTGAAATTTTGCGAGCCCTGTATAATATAATAACATATTTTTTACAATATATTTTTCTTATTCAGTTCCATTCCTATATGTCAGGGTATTTTGTGCTCATAATTCCAGTCAGATATTATTGGATTCGCAGAGGCCTTATTTTGATCCTTAAAAATGGGTTCCAAATTACTTATTCATTCATTCCACTTTTGTTTTGACTAGAAAATGTTCTTAATGTGCTAAAACATATTTTTACCCACTTATCTTTAAACTTAAAACAGTTATTAGCCTATTAATGGTATTTAAGATGATGCAATGGGTAGTGGTGCTAATTTATGAACATGAAATGAATCGGCACTCACCGGTATATGATGCCTTTACACCAGACCACTTTCACCACCTCAGCTATGACTTCCCCTTCCTGTTCCAGCAAATCAGGATTCACAGCATCATATCGCCATCTGAACATCACATTAATGTACTTTGAGTATGGTCATACTGGCACCATCAAACACAGAGTACTGATTATAACTGTAGTTTTTCTATAAGGATAAATGAGAGGAATGAATCTCCCTAAAGCCAGGTCACATTTCACTCAAAAAAAAAAAAAAGTAAACACA